AGCAGTGTGGGGACAGGCAGCTGGGGATGCTCCACAGACACGGAGCATCACCAGGCTCCCGGAGCCTCCCGTGCCCAACACCAAGAAAAGATCGAGTTGGGAGCGCCAACGTGGAGGCGACAGAGCCGGGTCAGAGCAGCAGCCAGAGGAACGAGAAGACAGAGAATGTCGTCAGGCCATCGGCTATTTTTATCTGCAAGAACCAACACTTAATACCCTCCTATCTCCCACAAAATGTCACTTGAGCCCCGGGCAGAGAGTTTACACTACTTACAGAGAGGGGCTGAAACTTGATCACGTAATCCCTCCTCCGGTCAAAAGTTTTACTGGGATTCACAGCGTCTGGACAGGGGAGCGGAGGAAAGAAAAAACCCTTTTCCCCTGAGAAATTACAGCCAGGACAGAGCACAGCCAGACTAGACAGGTCCCCTCCTGCCCACCGGGGACCTCTCTCCTCTCCAGCACAGCCCCGCGGAGCTCTGGGCTCAGCTGCACAGGGGACTTGGCTAGCCCTGGGGCTGAGGGTCTCCAGGAGATGGGGCATGGAGGAAGTGATGTGCTCACCAGCCCTAGATGCATCCTCTCTCCGAGGGGGCGTCAGGAGAGGCAGCAAAACCAACTGCACCCCACAGTGAAGCACGAATACAGACCAAGCGCCCCCCAGTCAACCCCTTAGGAGACAGGGAGGGATGGGGACAGGAACCAGATGCCATGGGGTTGGGCACCATGTCCTGAGGCAGAGGGCAAGGAGCCACATGGAGGGGGCAGAGTCTGCAGGCGGCATTTTGGGCAGGACTCCCCGGCATTCATGTCGCCAACGCCGCAGCCTCCCGGTGCATTCCCACCGAGCGGCTCTAATTCCACCAAATGTCACCTCGCTGCTCACCCAGCAACCTGGACTCACACGTGCTGTGGAAGGCTCCTCACTTAATAACAGCGAGGCAAAGCAGCCCCGTTATTAGCAGCAGCCCAGCGATCGCCCCCCCGCCACCTTTTTTGGCAGGAGCAGTCCCAAAGGCGCGCCCCCGCGCTGCCCTGCCGGCAGATGCAATAACGCGGGTTGCCCCTGTGCTGCTCTGGCTGCCTCCAGGCCCCGACCTCGTGCTGGCACAGGGTGATGGAGAAATTGCACCAGGAAAAACTGAGGAGAAGGCACGGCAAAGGGATGGGCTGCCTGAGCAAAAAGGCTGGCAAAAACAGGCAGGCCAGAAGTGCAGGGGAGGAAAGGAACTGGCCTTAGATGGACGGGTCTCCTGGCCCGTCCCAAATACTGCCAGAGCA